TTTTTGCCCCTATACACAAAACTCTAAGGTTGGTCTTATGACCTTGGCCGGATGTGGTATGTGTTTACCACACAAGGAGCTATGGGAAGCTCATCCATTTTTTGCAAAAAGCACACAATGTCCTTCCGTTCCATGCGATCAAGAAGCACCCCCACTTGTTCCAGTTCTCACGAAGCAACAACCCCTGCAGAACAAGCCGCATCTCTGTTCGCCGCATATTGCTCCGTGCGCGTGCGCGTTGACACAGCTAGGTTCCGTCGGATCTTCTACGTGCCTGGGAACCATGACTTGTGGGTGTGGTGGCCCGGATCCTGGTTCCAGGAGCTCAGATTGACCCGGGAAATACCTTGGTTTGGAGTCACCCCCCGGTATTGTACCTCATCATAGCAGAGCACCAGAGCACGCACCGCAGCATGTACCCCGGGTGCATGGGAAACGTTTTTGTTTATTTTAATGCATCGTCGTGGTTACGTCGTGGTGACCATGGTTGGACATGTTGGATGGACTTTCTGGGTGATGCAGGTGCAGTGCTGGAATTCCTGTTTTCAGGGTACTGGTGTGAATGTATGTGGATGTAGCATAGTGAGACGAGTGACCTTGGGCAGTGACACTGAGCAGTTCGACAAGCTTGCCGCCCACTGATATATAATGGGATGCATACCATGTATATATAGTGGAGAATGGAAGCGAAGGTGATCAGTTTATTGGCATCTTCAGCTTCAGCATAAAACAAGCACCATCCTCATCTCTTTCAGTTTCCAATATGTTTCCATGATTAAGATTTCGTTCAGAATGCCACTCAAGGCCATTGTCTCTGATTCCTCCACGCCGTCTTGAACTGCTTTCCTGTTTTGATCATGGGAAAGGCGAGTCTTCGAAAACCCTTCGGACATCCAGATACACCACAACTCCGGGCAAGCATTTGCTGAAAAAAACGAACTCTCAGCTGGTGAAACATCTCACCACTGCTACGAACATGTCATGAAAACCTGTTGAGCACCTCCCACGCACCTTCCAAACTTGGACGCGATCTCGCGTGGGGAGACGGGGGTCCAGGTGCGCCGGGTGACCTTGTCCAGCATCATCAAGGGCGAGCAGGTGGCTGAAGTTGGGTGAGCTGAGGTGGGTGGTCCCCCCCCAAAAAAGAACCAAGCTAAACCTTTATTAAGCAATGATGTCTACAATGCTTAAGCTTTCTGGTCACAAATTCTGAATAATTTATGGTCTTCTGTACCCTCAAAGCACTGGCTGAACGAGGATCTTTCGTTGGATTTGGGTTCACCAAATCTGCAAATCAAGCTACCTACGGGTGCAGGTCACTTGCATCCAAGTTACAATAACTTTCGGATGAGTCCCAATAGTTTCCGGCGGAGACGAGTCGGGTCATGCCATTGACATTGATTTTCGAGGACAGGTGCTGCCACTTGATATAAATTGTAATAGATATGTTTGTTGACACTGACGATGTTTCTGAGGGTGGTTAAGCTTAACTTCCAACCTCACTTCAACTTCACATGGCAGACAAAATCAGGGACCACGTCAATGTTAGTGGGTGGCCACAACGGTGGCAACAAGCATGGGACGGCTGTTTGATGGACGGATTTGTGAGTTCAAACTATGTTCAAACGGATTTGTGGCCACTGTGTTAGAGCTAGAAATGGTTTCAGGATCATGGATTATTACCCATTGTGAGATAGACAACGAGATGTTCAAGCGAAGTGTCAGTTTCTCTTGCTCACCAGACCGGAGCGAAAGCAAAGTGATCCTCTTTGGATGAAATACCTGGCTTATATAGTCTATGCTCTTAGTCTCTAGTCTCACTGGACTCGCCCATCCAGAATGCAAGGAGTTGATACTTATAGACTATATAGATTTGATACACACAATTTTTTATTGCATTTGCAGAACAAGAACTTGGCGCATCGCTTTCGATGGCTCTACCTCCATGTTTTCCGGTGCTCCGAGAGCTGGCTCCAGGTGAAAGATGAGAGGGCGCCTTGGCTGGGGGTGCTATGCTGTGCTTGGGAATGGGAGAGTGAGTTTGAAAGTGATCGTGGCCCGAGCCGTGGAACGTGGCCGCGGAGGCCCCAAGAGGACTTCAGGTGCTTTGCTTTGGGTGGAGATCGCTTCGCCCAAAACATCCATATGGGGAATGGATTAATGGTCATAGGGTTGCATTGTTTGTGGCTTTACTCTTTGAAGTGCAGGCCGCCCCACTGAGTAACCCTCGTGACTCATAGAATTGCAATATGTTCTCATGGTCCACTATGAGCAGTCACCAATCATGAGGCGTTGGACTCCGGTGCAAAAAACCACCTTTTGATGTTATTTCATGCCGGAAAGCGAAGATACCCGCTCAAACTGCATCCCCACTGCATCAAACAGGGTGAAACTCACTTGCAAGCACATGGATGATACAAGAAACTGTTCTTTGGTAGCCCCTGACTACCCCCAACTACAGCTACGAAGCCAGACTTCCAAAGCTTAGACTAAGAAGTAGCCCCAGTCTTTTTCCTTCCAAAAGGACATGGGCGACTCCATCTCCAAGTTCTTGGAGGTCAGTTCGGCCGGTGGAGTGGTTTCTCGAGGGCTGGGCATATCTTTGTCTTTGACCCTGATACATCAATCTGCTGCGGCCTTAAGGCCTTTTGGATTTCCAGGAACACTGTCCTTTTACAATCGAAATCAATGAAAAGAACACAGACTAATGTGAAGAGGTGTTACAGTTCCAAACTGGGGGTGTTGAATCAAGAGTCTACATTTCCTGAAGCCAGAGCTAGAAGATTCTGAGATTTTTGAGCCCAGGTCGGTCACCCCAATTCTAGATCAGATTGAACAAAAACCTGTCTTTGGGAGTTCCATCCCCAGATCGCCCACCTCGGCTCCTTCGATCGACCGAATTGGCGATCTGCGACCGCCGTGGCTTGGCTTCAGCAACGGTGGACCGAGCGGTGTGGGTCGAAGTCCGTGCCGGGCGGCCCGGGAAGACCCGCTGGAGGCTGTGGTTGGTGCGAAGATTCAGATCGAAGTATAAGAGCTTTTGAATATGATTCAGGACAATGCATAGAGTATAGATTTGATCCAAGGAAACAACACAATTATATACTTATTACATATTGATTCTTATGCAGGTCTATGACCTTCGCGAGATGCTGCGGCGAGATGTTGCGAGCAAGCTCAAGCTGTTCAATCTGTGAAAAGCCTGTGAACATGTGTGTGCGTGTCCCACTTGCTTGTACACACAACACAACTTACTCCCCAAGCACCCCAAGGGTCTTCACCAGTGCGTTTGTTCACGTTCTTCGAGATGTCCTTCTCAGGGGGTCTTAGCAGCCTGGGGGAGATCACTCAATGGACTGCTTCCTTGTTGCGTCGACCCGCTTGACGGCACGAGCAAACCAACGGGCCAACTGCACGATTGCAAAGGACCGAACACCTGCACCCCAGTGACTGTGACAACTCATCGTCGCAAGTTGAGCTGAAAGACCACCAGCTTCTTTGACCTCCAAGCAGTCTAAACTTGGGAAGGTCCTGGTTGTTAGAGCTTCTCAGCAACCGAAACCCGTGGAGGCACGTTGGCTCATGTCCATTCTTGGAACCCTTGAGGCAGTTCGCAGTTCTTCAGCGCAGTGCCAAGCGCTGAATCCGCTGAATCAACCACCACACCATGCAGGTGCACAGCCAAACACGCGCTGCGCTGCGTGGGGCGCTGCGCCGAGCATCGGGTCGGAATGGGACCCAAGCGTCGAAACGGAAGGCTCATGTCCTACTTCGCGGGTACTGTGGCTCCACAAGCTGCGAAGAAAGAACACGTCGACTAAAGAAAATCGGTGAAGGACCCCCAGCTTGTACCCCCGAAGAAGCAAGAGAGGTGAACGCCATATTGGATTCACTTAGAATACTGACAGATGACGATGACGTTTCCTTTCTTGACTTGTGAAAAAATGATTTTCGTGGTATTCTCAAGTTTTCTCAGATGAGAGGGACAGAGGCTCCAACTGTCCGACCAGGTTGGTCCACATGGGAGCCAGAGAACAACCAGGCCAGTTTCTGCAGGCTCCATGTCCTTCAAACACATTAAAAAGAAAGACGGTAGTTGTACGGATGCCATACGGTGTTATTATGTGTTAATATGGTTGCTCTATAGCTATGCCTGGAAATCAGATGAAATTCAGATCACTTGTCTCAGCACGGAAGATCATGTCATTGGGGAATTTCTCAAGATATCATTTGCAAGTTAAAACACAAGAAATCAATGAAGTGTTCTCAAGTACAGAACAGTTCTCGCGTTTCTCATGTTTTCCTGCCTCTTCCTGACAATCGATGAATGAACTCGTAGATCAGCCTCACCTTTTGCAGGATGGATCTGTGGAAAGGAGATGGGAGGGGCCGTGGGAGCGACCCCGCTTTTTGACAGAAACCTCCAGAAGACAGCTCAGTGCGACCGGCGGTTTCTCCGGTCGGGCTTTGAATGATCGGGCTTCCGGGGAGCTGGCGTGGAGGCCACGCGCCATTCGGGCTCCACCCAGACGCTCCGTTCACAGCCCGACTAGGGATTGGTTCGGACCCCAGACCCCATGATCGGATTCGGGCCGGTCTTGGGTCGCGTCGGGGCAGTTCGCGCACGTCGCATTCCCCAAGGAAAACTCGTGTCGACTCATATCGTCGAAGCCACGACTCATGACTCATGCCTCCCGCAAACGATCGCAAATGATTTGATGGAACCTGATGGCATGACACCTTTGGTTTCGACCCCTTTGCCGCATACCAGCCCAGTTTTCTTTGTGTTTATGTTTTTTCGGGGTCCCATGTGGCCCTATGTGGGGAGAAACGAGGCGTCGATAGCGAGGCGCCTCGCGAGGCATCAAGGGACCTCGGCTGTGGGTGAAAGCCGAGGAAGATGCATCCAATCTTCTCAAGCATGTCAGACCGTCACCAAGAGAGGTTAAGTGACCCTATAGACTATCCCATAGGTACCCCACTAGGGTCCTATAAGGTCACTTAACCTCTCTTGGCATGGCCCCCCTTTCTGGTTGAGTCGACTTATAAGATCACACAGGACACGGAGAAAATTCTCGGTGACTCCGGACTTCTCCCCCACTGGCCAGTCGACTGATCTCCCCGGTCCGCCGGTCCGGCATGGTCCACTCACGGGTGAACCGTTCGCCTTTCGGGTGAAACGATGTGAAGCGTTCGACCCAGGAAGCGCCATCCGAAGGGGACTCGGTTCGTTGGACCATGTGTGGTGACCAGTGGCGGCCGAGGGCGGCTTGTCATGATCATTCTGAGTTTAGTGGGTTGGTCTTCTGGCGTGTTTGACGAGGTCTTTCGGAAGCTCAACAAGCTGGCAGGATTAATTTGTTCCCCGTTCTCGTGGCAAAAATGCCCACCCGTTGCCATCGCAACTTCCTTGGCATCCCGGAAGCCTCCATCGGCCCCACGGTTTTGGGGCAAATCCAAAATCTGAAAAGCTAAGCCTCTGAAGCCTCTGACTCACTAACAGTATGTGGTTTTGATATGTTTTGACATACCCTCAACCTTAAGCTTATGATTTCAGCATATTTCAGCTATAGGCTATACCGTCCCCCAACGATGGAGTCGCTCCCTCGCAAGAGTCCATGGGATGGAGTGAAGGCACCACGAAGGCGGGCCATGCCATGCCATCCACGTTGGCCCATGGATGAGTTCAGGGATTGTGCTCTCCCACTATTTGATGGAGATCTTCTTTTGAACGAAAGGATGGGAAAAGAGGCAGGCTGGTCAAGTCTTTAGAAACCCCCTAACAAAGCACGGCATTAAATTTTCACAGTGAGTTGTAGTGGATTGGTGTAGAGACCTTCCATTGAACCTGTTCAGAAAGTTTGTGCGCTGTGACCGTGGCAACGTCGTTGGGTGTTGCATTCCATATGCTTTACATGTGTGATGTTGGCTGCCAGAGAAGTAATAAAGCCAAGCAGTACTGACTATGCGGCCAACAGATCATGAGTGAGCCTGGGTGCAGCTGGTTGGCAAGTGGGCGAAATGAGGTTATTGATCTTGGCCGGGGCTTCAATTTCAAATGTTGCAGTTGTTGGCAATTTGGAAGCTGAAGGATCTGAAAGATGACTTCTGATGCCGAGTCTTTTTGAGACCCCTCCCCTTGACTGCATCCTTTGTCGCTCGACCTTGGTCCAGGCGTGCTCAAGTCATACAACTGAGCTTAGCAAGCATAGCAAGTAAAAACATGCCGGTGAATATGAGAACAGGGAGACACCCTGAAGAATGCGGGAAAACTTAAAAGCAGCTAAAGCTTGTTGGTTGGGAGGGCCCCCTATGGAAAGACACCCGTAAAGAGCAAGCGTGACTCAAGTCGAGTTCCTTGTGGGCTTCTTTGGTGAAGTAGCTGGGGCCCCCTGACTTACCAGACATGGAGAACATTGGTTGGGCACCTTTCGTCTGAGTGTGAGTTTGAAAAGGATTCTGCAGTCGTGTGCTCACGTGGATGGGACCTGAAAATTTGCCCCCCTGCAGCTCTCACTGCGTCATTGCTCACAGGAGCAGCAGCGGCCCGGACCCTAAGACTTCCCTTGCCGAAATTGGAGGACGTGACGCAGGCGGTAGCTTCCTCATTGTAACGTTTCCTTTTGCTCATGCGGCCCAATGAAAAGGATGTTTCGTCATTTGTTTTGGCAGAATCAGATAAATGGTTCATATGGTAAGGCCACGACAGCGTATTTTACAAAGTCAAAAAGAGTCAAAAAAAACAAATGGAAAAGTAGAAAGCATCACAAAAAATCGGGAAAGTCGGAAAACATATCAAACATGGACAGCAACTCGAAAAAGGTAAAAAACACATAAGACTCTGCCCTGGGCCAATTGTTTTTTTTGGTTTTTGACATTTGAAACTTTCTGATTTGATTTTTCTTTGAACTTGACTTTTGGCACACTATGTTGACTGATTTGATTTGTCTAACGTTTGTTGACACCGCGCTCTTTCCAATGAAGGATTTTATTCAGGCTGGAGCTTCCAAATATGTAAACCCTTCTCATGCCCACAACACGTGTGCTGTGTGATTGAAGTGAGTACAGCTTTATGGTCATGTCGTGTGAACTATGATTGTTGATCCAAACTCACAGGTTGGTTTTCGGAATTGGAAAACACATGCGAGAGCTGCTCAGGCTTTGCTGCTGGTTGCACTAACGTTCTACTCCCGAGGTTCAGGGCCTCAGAAGACCTTTTGTGTTTGCTCGCTCGTTGTTCAAAGGGAGTTGTGGAGGTCAGCCCTTTGTTCTGCATTGTCACAGTTGACACCTCGCGGCCAGAGGAGTTCACTCAACTCATTCCGGACACAACAGGAAAAATTTTCCTCAGGCTCACCCAGAAACCACCCTTATATACATTTCAAGACTGTAACGAGGTCACGTGGGTGCCAGCTCTTTCTTGGCTCCAACTGCGACCAGGCAGGGTTTGAGACACGTGAGACACGACCCCAAGTTGTAGAAATGGCATGAAACAGCCAAGCGGCCGCAACCCCCCTCAAAAAAAATGAAGATCATCGTGGAACGTGGGTGGAACTGGTTGTGGACGATACTTTTTAAAACAAAATTTGTTAGGCAGCCAAGTTCCGTGTCCTTTCTTTCTGTGCCTGTTGTGTTTGGTTCTTTTGTCTTTCAAAACAGGCCAGCAACGGGTGGCCAGGCGTCTTTCGCCGGCAACGCCCTCGTTGGTGAACTCGGGCTGCTGCCGCTTTGCCCCGCACTACCAAGGCTGACTGGGTCAAGCGGCGTTCCGCTCCGTCCAGTGGGTCAAAACGCGCAATGCCGGCAGAGGCGTCCCAGTCTTTGTCACCTGAAAGTGGGTTCCTGGAGAGAATATAGTTGTACACCTTCAAAAATGAGCGAAAGTAACATTCCAGTGGAGACCCAACCATTTTCAGATTCTCCTGGGTTGAGTGTTGTTGAAAGTTTTTACATGAATCCTTCTCCCAGCAGGAAAAAATCTCCGCGATTCCAACTAAGCTATGCATCTGTCTACGAAACAAATATCACCTGGAGCCGGTGAAAGCTCCGTGTGTGGCACTCGACAGGGATAGATTGGCAGGACCCGATGGGGTCAGAAAACGTACGACGGAACCGTTGTGCCCAGACGCTCCGTTCACAGCTCTCGACTGGTCCCTCAAAACTGGGATTTGGTTCGGGTCCGGCCCCTACTTATATAGGAGGGTCCAGGGTCGCGTTTGGGTGAGAACGCCATTGAGGATTAGGTCGGAATCCGTGTTGGGAGTGGACGGGAACCTTCCATCCCTTTGACGACGGAGGGACTCGCCATCCATCGATCAGCCCCCCCAATCGCTGCGCTGCTCGAGGAGTGGATTGGCAAGACCCCAAGGTGCGCGAGGACTTCATGGCGGCTGGGGGGACTCAGCTCAAACGTCGTTAGGCCGACACGTCCCGTCGTTCTTGCAGCGATGGTGAGCAAAATAGGTCGATCACATTCTTTTTGGTGGAGACTCATTTGTTTTGGGTTTGGAATTCTCTTGAGATATTTTTTTGTGTGTTGTTGTTTCTGTTGTTGGCACTTTTGGTTATTTGAATCACCCGGTATTTTTGGGTCATTGCTGCAAGAGAGTAAAAATCGTGTACAAGAGTCTCTCAATATTAATAATCGATCGGGTGTTCATGATTTACAAGATTGTTCGGACGAAAGATAAACACATCTTTAGGACGAAGACATATAATAAGATAAAAAGTTACTTTTCTTCGAGTGATCCCCACCATGACATTCTATCTGACATATCTTCTGACATTCTATCTGGCATATCTTCTGACATTCTATCTGGCATATCTTCTGACATTCTATCTGACATATCTTCTGACATTCTATCTGACATATCTTCTGACATTCTATCTGACATATTTTCTGACATTCTATCTGGCATATCTTCTGACATTCTATCTGGCATATCTTCTGACATTCTATCTGGCATATCTTCTGACATTCTATCTGGCAATGTATCTAGCAATCTATCTGACACACTATTTGGCATACTATCTGGCATATCTTCTTGCAGCATTCTATCTGGCAATCCACTTGGCATTCTATCTGGCAAACTATCTGGTTGAGGTCCAGCGGTGCACACTGCGATCGGATCCTTGCGGTTGAG